AAAAAAGAAAATGAGTTTGTCAGTTGTTTCGCGTCACATTCTTTTAAATCACTCGAGACTCAAAATCCCATTTCCAAAAAATGAGAAGCAAATCGGGAATGATGAGAATTAAATATTTAGAAACATAATTATAAAGTGTGAATCAGTGGATTTTGTTATTTGTTGCAAGTCAATTTTCGAAACATTTTCAAGATGGTCCAAGTATTTCAAGCTTGAAAAATCATACTTCCTTACACACAAAATTTCACAGTCTCGAGTTCTCATCTTACGAGAGCAAATATTTCCCGAGGTATTTTGTTCCATGGTGTAGGAGTATTCTTCGATTCATTCAAACATTTCAATATCTCGAAACGAGGAATACATGACTTTCGGCCACTTTCATGATCACATATGATGCTTCATGAAACTCTAAAAGAACCTTCCCTTCTCTCTTGCAAGAAACAACCCCTAACTGTCCTTCACAGAATAATTTCTCACATTATTCTAAGGCATCAGCTCTTCTCCTCAGAGATGAATCGTCGATGAATTTGGCAAACGCAAGCTAGCCATCATGTTGGAGACGTTTACCATTCCAAGCTCATACCATTCTGATCCTCGGACGGAAGCCTCTGTCGTATTCGCGGAATTCGATTAGTTATGTCGAATAAGAAGCCTCGTGTGTTTCTAAGCTGAGCTCTGGCAGTCGAGTCATTGGGACCGATCGATTCGTAGGAAATTACCACGTTAATCGTGTGTAGTGTGCTCACGACGTACAACATTAACAATTTTATTTATAATTAAATTGCGGATTTTTATGAAAATTTATAGAAAATGCAAATATACGTGAAATATTCAAATTATTTAAATTCAACACTTTAATACTTTTCATATTATTTAGCTAGTCGAATAAGTTTTTTCACTTTCCATTTTTTTTTTTTTTTATTACTTTCATAAGGAATTGCAACAAAATTGCATAAACATTCTCAGTCTATTTGTAATACCGATTTTTATCGTCATACTAGTACTTGAATATTTGCAATGTGTCAAATATCGAGGGCTATTAAAAATTTTGCTAGTTTCAGTGTTACTAATTTTTGACACTGTTTTCAATCGAATTTTACATTAGTATCTCCATGTTTTAACATAAGTTACAAATATTGAAGTCAGTGTCAAATATCAAAATCCTGCTAGTTTCAATACTACTAGC